TCCCAACCAATGTATTGTGTTCTGTTGAATAATGACAAAGATATTTTTCCTCTAAGTTTCAAATATAAAAAATGTCTTTGTGTCCATCATTAGTAACTTGAAACTATTTTCTAGGACTTTCCATCCCCTACAAACTTTACATATGGAAGCAGAAAAGCTTCTTATCCTTTAACCCAATATTGTAGGGCTTAACATATCTCAAAACCACTCATGTTATTTGGTAAGACTTCATCTTCCCAATAGACATCTCCTAACCTTCCAACGACTGCACTCATTTCACTTTTCCTCATAACTTTGTTCATACTTGACATTGTGAAATTAATGGGCTCAATAAATACATTTGCATGTATGTGTGAGGTGTCTGATGCACCTGAATACTTGAAGGGAAACAAAGCAAGCCAGGACAAGAACTCCCAAATCTTTTTTTTTTTTTTTTAAGATTTTAAAAATTCATTTATTTGACAGAGAGAGAGAGAGAGAGCATGCGAGCACAAGCAAGGGGGACCAGCAGGCAGAGGAAGAGGGAGAAGCAGACTCCCTCCTGAGCAGAGAGCCCATTGTGGGGCTCGATCCCAGGACCCTGGGATCATGACCTGAGCCAAAGGCAGATGCTTAACCGACTGAGCCACTCAGGCACCCCAAGAACTCCCAAATCTAATCATCAACTTTATTCAAAAGTTTTCAAATTTACACCTGACAAGAGTCAATGCAAGAGTTCAAATCTGCCAGAGATTCACACTGGCTATAGGTGAACCCCATCTTACATGGAGCTAAGCAATGCCCATGGTCAACCATGAGGGCTTGACCTGCATTCTTTCATCTTTACTGCAATCCTCTTCATTGTGATTCAACAAATACACCTGTCTTTGTGAAGCTTACATTCTAGCAGGGAACAGACAACAGGCACTCAAGAGATAATCTAGTTTGTCTTCAGCAGTCACCATGAGCACTGAATCCAAGGGCAGTGGCCATCAACCTTCTCCCAAAATGAAATTAGTAAGACTAATTTTTATGGCCAAAAAAGAGGAGTAAGCAATATTGGCCCTACCCACCCTTTACTGTTTATCTCCATTTTATAGAAGAAAATTGAGGTTATCGTGAATCTAGATTTCTTTTCCTAACATTTTCCCTCAATGGCTTTACACTTCTGCCACTCTGATTTAGCACCCTGCATCCCTCATCTACCATAGGATCCACATACCACACTCGATACTGAAAGCTGCGTGCTTACTTTAATGGCTTCTCCAGGTTCAATGTCAAGAGTTCAGCTGCATTTTGTTTAACATACACAGGAAAACAACTGATGTAGGACTTCTGCCCAGGAGGTTTTATTATGCTCTGTGCCACTGGAGTAGTCTGTTTCTTCAATCTTTTGACAAAGTTACTATGAGCAATAATCCCACTCTAAGGAGGTACCCAGAATTACTGGATTATTTTTGCATAACTTGAAAGTACTATTTTCTCTATGTAAGTTGTCGGTTTGCTAAAATGTTCACCAGTTTGTTTACATTCAACTTTTAAAAAAGGGGGTGGGACTCTCACTGCCCATGCCCCTTAACATAATCACTTCCAGTAGCTTCTGGCTTATCTACCCTTCCTGAGCGGTCTATTTGCAAAACCGAGTAACTACACATATGTAGACATACACACATTATTTCCTCTGCTTTATGGAAGGGAGCACACCACACACCCCGTTCTGCGTCTTGTTCTTGTTTTTAGTAATGATATAATCTTTAGCAAGTTGTCTACCCTTTGAGTTTATTCACCTGCCAAATGGGGAGGATTTAATAAATGGAAGGACCTCACTATGGGCCGGGACAGATGACGTGTTCAATACAATAAATGTTACCTTGTCCCTACAATCCTCCCGGCTGCAGGCCACGGGAGATCAGATGGCTACACCTCACACCAGACAAACTTCCCCTTCAGACTGGAGATTAAATGCACACGGATCAGGAGAGCACACCAAACCCTCTCAGCTTCAGTGGTTTATAGCTTTCGCCTGAAGGGAAGTAAAGAGAGTCTTCTTATAATAACTTAACTTCAGTTATTAAACATACAGGATCTCAGGTTCAAGTGGCTGGGGGCCTGTGAATGAACAGATTAATAGGAGGAAAGTTTATTATATATGTATGTGGGAGTAGGCTATAAAGGGCGGCTGTCGGAACAGCCAGGGATGAGGTTTTATCTACCAGCTTAATGGGATAGGGAATGGGGTATTAAGGCTTCAGTGGGAAAGTATGGAAGGAGCAGATAGGACTTAACACAGTTCTTCGGGATGTCCTGATACCAAATCAGGCTCCTCCCTTCCAAAAGACTCCCTAGGAGAGGGGTTTATGACAGCTGAATTCTCAGAAAGGCCTGCTTTAGTCATCAAAGAGAAGTTTAAAGTAGGCCTCTTTCCGCAGCTGCTGTTTGTTCAGATGTTCTCAGTTTAAAGCGGTCTTTATGCCCTCCTGGTGGGGCTAGCCCCCTGAGTTCCTTGTTTGAAACCTGACATGAAGTTTCACGAGCTAGCAGCCCAGTGTACTGCTGTGAAGAGGAGACTCGGGCTGGAACTCGGGAGGTAAGAGATCTGTGAACGGAAACACAGATCAGGACAAAGACGAATAAGCAGGGAAGAACAAATCCAAACACATGGCCCCATGGGCCACTGAACTGGTCTCTCACGCCTGAGAATAGGTCAGTCCAATTAAACCGTAATTCACTCGTTCGATGTAGATTGTTGACGTGTCCCTTCACACGGTTCAGACGAAACAGGACTTCTTCTGAGTTGTTAGAGGCAGCATTGTTTGCCCATGATTGTACATGTTCTTCCTTGTTGAGCAGCAGATAAATCCAGATGGTGATTCTGGAGTGCAGAGAGTAAACTGCTAACTCTCGATTGGTGGGTTTCCAAGGTCTACACCGCGGCAGCGAATCCTTGTTCTGTCACTTTGGAAATGTTTAGAATTGTTTCTTCTAGATGCGACATTCCCAAACCCAGAGAAAGGGTCCTTATTGAATTGGTGTTGTGATAAATGGGTGGACTGTCCATGATGTCTGGTTGGGTGCATCTATGTGGTGCTACTTTGTTTATTAAGGAGCCTGCGTTTGTGATTTGGTTAGCATTTAAAGTGGGACACCTGGTGAGGGCAGCTACCAGGTAGCCACGTGCACATCACCCTGACCATTTAGGTGGGAATGCCTTATATACCTTATTACCACCTAAGATAAAAACACCAGAGTTGTCGTCCATGGACAAGGTCAGAGTAGAACGTGTGACCCACCAGGCTGGCATCTGGTGTCCGTCATGACTTCTGTATTTGGTTATGTTGGCATCCACACATCTCCACTTACCATGTGCCTCTGTCAGCCTGTAAGAGCAAAACAGGTTGCAAAATAATCTGGTATAGAAGACCTTTGTTTTGATTTTGGCAGCTGAAGAGATGGGTGTCATTACCTAACCAGGTCATTCCAGAATTTTGGGCCACCCATATGTAGGCTTGGGTATTGGGCAGACCAACCAGGGGAAAAGCCGAGCTATTCCCGGTCCTACTTGTGTGGCCTGCAAACCAGGAATAATGTCCAGTGACTAGGCAAACATCTGCATCATAATAATCAGTCTTGGACCCATTTACAACATCTATAGAAGGTTTGAAGGTGCCCCATCTGTGGAATCAAACCGTAGTGTTTGATTACAGTATTGTTTTGGTACGTTACCTAGGAGGGTCCAGTGCCATTTTTATTTTGACTGCGAAGAGGAAAATTTCCCTCCAAAAGCTTCACCGGAGTAAATGACAGACCTTGAGCTTCTGTAGAAGTTTCCTAATGCCAAGTAGAGTGATTTTGTCCTCTTGTTTGTGGATACCGATCCCTTTTCTACATCCACTGTACAGAATGGGTCCACCAGGTATTTCCATGGGCAGGAACAAAAACTAGTTAGGTTCCTGCGCATTATATAGATGTTGATATAACCAGCAATCAGATAAATAGCTAAGGTGTCAGGGTTTGGAAGAGTGGTGGGCGTGGGTAATGGGGTTGTGGTAGAATTGTTGAAAAAGCACCAAGGGTTAGTTGAAGCAAGACACTGTTTGAAAGGGAGCCCACAGTGGAGGAACACAGGGAGGATAGTTCAGGACAAGCAACCTCCAGCCAATCTTTCTGTAAATAAAAGAGGAAGGGTCTTTTAAAAAAGATCTCTAGGTCAGAGAATTTTCCAGGTCAAGGAGAAAGGCTTCAATGGAAAATAAATGAAGACAACCTTCTTGATTCAAAATTTTGGACAAAGCTGCCTACTTCATGGTGCCATCTGCTTCTGGAGCCTGAGTAGGCTCTGGAAATCCTCAATTTGAGGTCACTCATAGGGACAGCCTTCTAATTGTTATAGGGGTGATGATCTGGATCTAGCATGGGTGTGTCTTATGTGAATCCTGGAAGATTTTTATTCTGATGACAGTGTAGATGGTTAACAGTATTTCCTAAAGCCTTTCCCAGTGAGCTGATAATGCATATTTTCTTCTAAAAACTTTGATGTATACTCCATCTCCTGGTAGAAAGGTATGGCAAGGCTTGTTAGTAAGTGAAGACCATGTTTTTTTCACCTGTTGATCATATGCTCCAACAGTTCTTATATATAACTAGTCAACATATTGAATTGTTCACTCAAGGCCCCATATGCTCACCCAATCCAGGAATGGAAGGTTTAGAGATGTCAGTAGGCATGGGGTGACCAAAAACTATTTCAAAATGGGTCAGTTTCGAGTATTCTGGATCGGTTGTTTCTACCCAGTGAAGTCTGGCTCCAGAGGCTTTGTGACCTTTGTCAGCCTTCAGATGTTCTCAATTCATAGTCTTTATGTCTTTCTAGTAGGTTGTTCCTGCCTTCAGTGACAAATGCCAACACTTTCACTGAATGTACCATCAATGCTAAGGTTAAGTTTGATTTCATCACTCGTGCTCTGAGCCGTGTTAAAATATCAGGAGGGTGCTTGAACCGAAAGAAAACTTTCCTCTGGTTCAGCTGTGACTCCAGACAGGATCCAAAGAGGAGTTTTACAATCTCCTCCCTGGGTTTTATGGAGACTTATTTTACCCTTCTGTGTTAGCCTCTTAAGGCACCATGTCCACCTCAAAAGGGCACAGGAAAGGGCCTTTTGGGATTTTTACAGGGTTCTCTCTAGGATCCCTGCACGCCTCCCTCGTCAGTATCCCCCGGATCTCAGCGCTTTCCGGAAAACCCACCGGAAGCAGCTGTTGTGCGGGGGGAGCCCGGGAACGTGCATTCGCTCTATCGGAAAGGCCAATTTGGGGCCCTTAGAACCGAACACGTGGGAACCCTGGTCGTCACCGGTCACGTGCTCCGGGCCTGGGTCCTCGCATTTCACCCCAGGACGGGGACCTACCTGAGCGTAGAGCTCAGGCCGCTGCAGCCCCGCACACGTCGGCGACAGACTCCCGGGTCCCCGGGTCGGGCCGGGCCGGGCTCCCGCAGCCGCAGGCGGGCCGGCCCCGAACCCGCTATAAAGTAGCCGCGGCGGCGCCCTGCGGGAGCAAAGCGCGAGGTTGTCAGGGCGCCCGGGCCTGGGCGCGGGGAGG